TACTGTTTTGCTTCATAGAACATGTATTTTAAAGTATTTTGTTGTATATTTTGAGATATTACATTGATATGAATTTAATTGGTGGCTGAAAAATTTAATCTTGATCAAAGGAAGTCAATATACGAAGGGCGTTCAAAAATTTCTTGGAATGGGCTCGCCAAACTAGCAATAACACGTTTCAAGTTCACGTTTTTGTGGTACTTGGATGGGCATGTTTGCAAAATTGGCGGGGACATATTTCAGTGCACAGTGGTGTCACGTGGAGGTGAGTGGTGGTCTGTTGGCGTAATGTGGCAGTTCGAACAGCACATGAACCTGACGTTCATGTGCAAACTGTGAGAATCACCTTTGTGGACACCATTGGCCCTGCTGCACCGTGGCCTGGACTGCCTGTTACTGACAATTTTTACGTCGAAGTTTTGCAGAGTTTTGGTGATGTGGTTCGAAGGACGCGACGGGGGAAGGGAAGGGGTTTCTGCATCGTGATAACGCACCAAGCCGCTTGTTGGGCAGAAATTCCTCACCAAGAACATTCCTGTCTTTCCTCAACCACTGTTCTCCATGGATCTTGTTTCCTGAGAATATTGGCTGTGCCCTACTCCAAAAATGAGTCTCGGAGGAACACAATTTGCAACTGTGGAGAACATTAAATAGAATGCAACAGCTCGGCTCCGAGAGGCGCCAAAAGAAGCCTTCTACCGCTGATTCCAACAATGGCAGGAACGATGGAGCTACTGTAAAGATGCACAATGGTCGTACTTAGAAGGTGATTAGGGTAACCATTGCCATAGATTATACCATTAACGAGCTGAACCACCATTCCGGGAACTTTTTGAATGCCCCTCGAATTCTACAGAATATTGTAATTTTTCTAGCAGAGTAGAAATTATGCTAATTTAGAAATTTAACTGTAAGATACATACGGGAAGATAGTAATGGTTTTGCAGTAGTTTCTGTTGCAAGTAATGAATTCCATTCATTTGGGGGATTGGTTTCCCAATTGGCCAGCACAAATTTTAATTTTCGCTGGAAAATTCGCTTTTCGAAAGAAACATCCCGATAAGTTTTTTGCTAATTCATTTTATACTAAAATATGGTTTTGAAAGAATGTGGATGTACAACATGAAATATCAACCAGAAACAATACATTTTCTGAACAACACTTGGAACAATTGTCATTTTTAACAGTTTAACTATCTTTATTTTTGTGCTGCTTTTGATGAGTTGGTTAATATGATGAGATGTTAATAATTAGGTCACAGGAGAGTAGTATATAGAATATTCTTAAAGTTTTGAAATGGCTTTGTTTCTGTTAAACATAAGTTTCATCTACTAAATTCTTCAACACAAATGCAGCCGAACACCATTTTTACCTGAAATTTACATTTATTCCAGTGTGTTCACAAAGTACATGTATCCCCACTGCAGGCTTTAAAAATTCAAATTTCTCAGCATAAACTCAAAGAAGGATAAAACTTTTTTTTTTGTATGTTTATTTGTTACTTGTGGAAAGGTGTTACATCATGGGTTAACATTATTCAAGGATGAAATAATGGAAATAATCTTTGTCAACTTCGATTTATTAAGAGAGCTGGCTGTTGATGGCTTTGCCATCATCAATCAAGAAATATATGGAAAATCTTAAAAAATAATAAACAAGAAGATTAACATACCTACATTTAAAAATGGATTTCCAATAATAATAATAAAAAAATAGAGATAATACAAATAAGAAAACTAATATAGGTACATTTTTTTTAAACTATCAAATGACATTTCAAAAAGGAAACCAATAAAACAGAATTTCATCCCTATTTGTTCCTACCTAGGGTTCAAAATTGACCATTTGTAATGAAGTCAGAATTACATTTTAGTCTCTTACACAAGGTGTTTTTGCTCCTAATTTTGTGTTTGAATTTGGATTTTACTTGCGGTTTTGCTATTATAATAGTATAATGCAGTGAGTCTGTGACTTAATAAAGATAGGCAAAGATCCACTCTTTATCACCAGTGAAAGTGTTAAATCCCATGACAATCAAGAACACACAAGGTTTAGAACTGTTGGCTTATTCCTTTTAATATAACTGGTATTTGCCTTAGTCACTTCCAGGTCTTGTAAGCTAAGAAAAGCATTTGCATGATTCCACTAATTAAACTTACAAAAATATAGAAATATCCTTTAGGACAGTCAGGATTTTTGTTTCTTTACAGAACAATAATATATTATTAAAGTATTATTAGCATTAAAGCAATGAAGACTTAATTTTTTTATTAGAATTTCTCTTGGTGGATAGGTGTTTTAGTTTTGAGAACAGTTTTGCCAGATGTATAATAATACAAATGCTTGTTCTCATGTACTAGATTGTAATATAAGCTAGGGATAGTGAAATGTTAGCCTTTCATTTATAGTTTAAAAAATCACAAAGAGATTTCAGGAAGTGAGATACTTTCTATTCTAGAAAGAGCTATGGGAAACCTTAAAATAAATTACATACCAAAAGTAATTTCCTATCATTTATACTTTACTGTGATTTACACCTTTTTTTTTTCTTTGTTCTTGGAAAAGTGTAAAAGATTGGTTCTATTGATTGTTTAAGAATTACAAAAGCTTACAATTTTATTGATCGCTGAATGTAGTGAGCCCGCCAGAGATAGCATACCACAGCCATGTTATTCGCACTGCTACTAAATAACACCTCTTAATCTACGAGGGTAACATGAGGGGGTGAAAAGCAAACTGATAATGAATGCTAACGATGATTTGGGGGAAATACAAGACTAACAGAAGATCCCCGAGAAATCTAGTGAGTGAAACTAATGTAATGATGAAATGTTTGAACCCTAGTATATACCTAAAGGTGAGAGGTGTACTTATAACACTATGTTGCCTCTCATTTGTACTTTTTGTGTAATTACACATATAATGACCATGAAAGTCTCTTCTAGAGACAATTTTTGGTGAACCACAAAAATGCAAAATGTGTTCATTCTTAGGGCCCCTACACATGAGTGTTGCATTGAGGCAAGTTAAGTAACGTGTTGTGCAATAACACTGGATCATGTAATATGGCACATGAGCGCTTTGGATGTTCTGCATTAGAATCAGTGTTCTTAGATTCATCTACAACATGTGTCAAAGCAACGCTCGTGTCCAACAGACCTTAGTGAAAAGATATCTCTAGCAATTGCATATGTTAACTCTTATGAATTGTAAGTCAAAAGTGCAAAATTAACGCTTTTAATATTCTCTGAAATCTTAATTATTGTAGCAATGCTTCATTGTGTAAGGAAACAATGCATTTATTTGACAATTTACACATTAAACACATTTTTAATTTAGTTGTGTCGTGTCATATCGGTTTTTGCAGAGCTATCTGGTGGGGGAAATGTACGCTTGGGTCAAAGCAACACAGTGCCATTGTATTTGGAGTAAAGAAGGAAAATGTGCAGTGCTTCATTCATATTTTTATCATATTTAGATTGTACCCTGAATGGAAGGAAATCATTTCAAATCAAACAAATTTATTTTTCTGTTTTTGTTTTTTTCTTATATTAAAAATACATGAACAAAACATTTAAATATATACAAACTCTACCTGCAGAAAAATATTTTCTTAGACTAGTATCTTTCCATAATCTCACAAATCGAGATTGTAAATGTTAAGCTTGTCTTCATTCTTAGTAATTGTAAATTAATTCACATTACGGAATTGTTTTTACAATAATACATTTTTCTTTTCACTATTTTTACCAACTTCCTTAGTATAAAATCGTGTCCCTAATATTGTTTAAGGAAAATCCTATTGGTAGCCTTGCAGAACGTTTTGCTTTTTCATAAATGTATTGAAGGTAATGATCCCTCAAATGAAATGTTTCATTTATTTTCAAAAAAATATGGATCTATTTTTAACTCTCAAATCCAAGCCTGCAAAAATATTAAAAATCATAGAAAGATGTTATAAATCTCACTAGACATTTCATTCTTCCATATTATATTTAGCATGTTCTTGTTTCTTGTTCAGATGAACGTGACTGAAAAGGTGTCAAACAAGAGAAATTTTACTTTCTATTTTCCTTGCAAATTATTTGAGGAACATGCATGCTGGAAATATCCACAATCATTCAATACAGTGTAATCACTGATTTTGTTAAAATACTTTAGGTTTACATCATACCTGGACATTTTCATTACCTCAGAAAATTCGCTACTTTCAACATTTATTATTTGGTTTCTATACACTATTAGTGTCTTGAACTTGTTGGACCATTAGGCCAATCAATTTTCTACCTGTAGACTTAATGGTTTTCATGTTCATAGCACCAATGCAAAGACACTGCAAGAAAAAAATAAGAATTTTAATAAAAACAACTTTAGTATGCTTGGTTCATAAAATTGACAATTCAGCCACTCAGAATTCCAATCCCAGCGAAATTTCGGCATGAAAGAAAAGTGATTCACTGTAGCAATCGACAAGATAATCTTAACTCCACATATAAATAATTATACAGCTAGGAAAAAGAATTAACCTTTTTTAATAACTGTATAATAAATTTCGATCTCAGCGATATCTCAAATAAAAGCAGCTCATATTAGGTTCTTAGATTTCTTACTGGTGATTAATCAGCAATTTGTCTCTCTTGATCTTGAAAGTCACACATTAATCCACAATGTGAATAGTGTATTTGCCATATTGTGTTTGCTTTTTGTCCTTCATGTAAGATGTTTGTCTTTCGGAACATGATTTTGTTCATAAATTAACCATGATCACAAATTTCTTTGTTTCAAAGTTTTTTTTGAACAGGAGAAATTAAGGGCAATAAAATTTGTTAAAAGTATATGTTCTAGAACTTTTTTTCTACAAATAATACCGAAAATGATTTTAATAATACAAATAACCCAACTTCTATATTGTACAATACAATTATAAGTTATACAGATGACGATTTTTTTAATTTAAAACTTATTTGTTTACATTATATTTCAGTGCATGGAAAATACCCACCTTGCTTCATCCAGTCACTATTTTCCCTCATCATATATAGATTAAACATGTTTTTGCAAGTCTTGCATAAATCTCTTCACATTATTGAAAAATACAATAAGGTTTTTTCACTAAAAGATTTTTATCTAAAGAAAATATCAAGTTTTATTCTGTTCTGTTAAAGCAGATGCTTATCAAGAGTTCCCATTCATTAATATGAAAGCCACGAATAATTCACTATTTATGCTTGTGAAATAGTTGACTTGACAATCCTTCTTTAGCCAAACTCACCTCATCCTGTTATTTCAGATGGGAATAACAGTAGAAAGCTCTTCAGTCCTATAAGAAAAGAAGGATGATTTCAATGCAAAATATTAACCAAGGCTAAAGAATAAGTCTACCTTAGAAATTCAGTTAACTGATTTACATTGAATGTGATCCTGGTGATAATCCCATCAAGTTACTGTTCTAAAGAAGTAGTGAACAAATTTGTGAATTCAATTGGAATCATAAGATTAAACATTTGTAATATTAAGATCACCAGTTTCACAATTTGTTTAATACATAAATGTTCATCTTAATATTTCTTAAACTACATTTAACTACGAAATGAGTCATTTCTCTAAAATACTCAATCCATTAAAATAAAATAAAATTCTTCCATTTTCAATTTAACATGACCAGTAGAATAAATCACTCTGTACATTTTGAAAAATGTCTTATAATTAGAGTAAAGTTTTACTGAGTGATGTATTTATTAGTTTTATTGTAAATGGTAGAAATATTTCAAAGCATTCCAATTGTTAATATTATTTTATTGGAAATTTTAGAATATTTAAAATTGTGCACTGTCAGAATAATTACTTATTTACAATGAATAAAACAAAGTTCAAAAGTAGAGTTCATTACCACTTATAGTCTCAGCAGAATATTCATTCAGCTCTCTTTTTTCTCTCACGCCAACATGGAGGCTTCTTGTTCAATTTCAAGCACGTTTTCCTGCGATAGATTATCAAGATCTAAACACTCCCAATATTTTGCTTCTAAAATACATCCTTAATATTTGTCAACTTTGGAAATCTAGAACTTTTAAGAATTATAGATGTCAAAGTAATTTCTTCCAAATAACTTGCAAGACCATTAAAAAAAACAAAAAATAAATTTAAAAATTAAAATATCCCAAACTTTTTAAATGAAGAATAAGAATAATAAAAATCTTGCAGTCATTAGAAAGAACATTAATTTTTTAAATGTTAACGTCTGAGTTGTCTGGTTTATGGTGTCCTGCAAACATTTTTCATAATTAAAGAATGGTATGCAAAAAAATTATTAGCTCTAGAATAATAGGAAAAACTCTTAACTACAGCTAATTGTAAAACCATTGTCAAACCAAGTGAAGTTTTTTTGTTTTTTTTTACACTTTAACGTACCATTACTAATGTGTCAGATTATGAGAGCCTCCGTAAGTTTCCATCTACATGATTCCCTATCCCCAACCAAACTTATAATTCTCTAAGTCATTTATTCACAAATATCTGGTGATCTCACCTTACAGCATTACAAAAGGGAATTAATTTACTTCTAAGATATTGACCATGAAGTAAATGCTACTTCTAATACTAATAATTACATCAACAGTTGGAATTTTTACAAACAAAGATCGGTAAGTAGGACATAATGGCAAAATAATATAAAACCAAACTTCAAATTAGCAAATGACTAGATGTAAGGGCTTAGTTCACCAAAATGTAACATAAGTTTTTAAACCTACGACACAGATAAAGTCACGAACAACATAGCATCAGCCATTCATTACATCATAGTAACTGAATTTATTCTACCTAAACAGCATTTTAAAATTTTATTTATTGAGAAATTGAATTAAACTACCTTTTAAAGACCTGAGGTCCACAAAATTATAAGTTATGGGAGTCCAACAAGAAATAAGTATATTTAAGAAAAAACAACCTTTAACCCTTCAATGTATAGCCTAGCTGAGGTGCATGATGGTATCCCGAAATGGGTAAAGGGAGGGGACTAGGTGTTCCTACAGTAGTAGGTTAACTGCTACACCATTCCACCTTATAGGGAAAAATTGTTGATGTCTAAATATGGATACCAGAGAACAGGTGAAAGGAACATATCGTCTCAAAGCAGCATACCACATTGAAGGGTTAATTCCACAACTGAGGGAAAATAAAGAAAGACAAACATTGAGCGAGACTTGATGTGATCACATGACCTATGGTGCCAGAGACTAAATAATCACGGTAAGTTGTACATATTAAAAATATCTTATGCAAGATAAAAATAGTATTAACAAACTGGTGGATGATAAGGAAAACTATCTTAATATTGAGTATGTTCACTGTCTTCTGCCTGAAGTGTTGAGTTGACACATCAGAAGTAAAATCTGGGCCTTTACAGATATCCTTAATTTTTAAATACAAGCTGACCTGTCATAGTTATCAAATACTATGTATTTTCTCATAAGAATAAGAAAAAAATACTGTATCAGATTAGTGAATGATAAATTACAAGAGTTAAGACTATATGGTAACTATTATATTACAAACTAAGGACTGCATGTTAGAAGTTTCTAAATATCAATTTGAAAAACATACCACATTAAATAGTGTATTTCATTTGCAATTCACTTTCTTTGAAATAAACTAATCACTTGGTACATTTAAAAAAGTATTTTTACCTCTATGTATTTACACCACATTTATTCAAATTCACCACAGCATTTTACAGATCTAACAAAAACGTTTCAATAACATGCAGTGCTTCTCTTCGGAGTACTGGATCAGATCTTGCATTTCACTAGCAATGGATCTAACAGTATTAATTACAATACACATACCTTTTCAATAAAAAAAATAACAATATATTGTAAAATAGTCGTTTCATTCCTGAAGGCATGCTACCCGAAGCTGAGAACATGTAAAGTGATACAGAGATTTTTCCCTCCTAAATGGAAGGAAATATTTCCCAGTTTCCTAACTCATAAACTTTAAAAGAACGCATATTGTACTTCTTAAAAACTTTAGTACAGACAAAACTAAACAGCAAAATTGGAGTGCGAGATGCAAATTATGAAAAAGTGTGACCCGTATCTTGTCAAATACTTTTCTTTATTACGTAAATTTCCATGAAAGGTTGCTAGCAAATGGAAACAGGAATAATGAAAATTACTTGGGTCCAATAGTGTTCTGAATAGGCATCTCCATTAAGCCTTTTGAATTATTAGAGAAAATATGGCATTCAAAACTTAATTTTCTTATCTTACAATACCTTATCTGTAAAAATAATTTAACATTATTTCAACAAAAACCACTGAAGATATCTCTATTTTTTGTGCTTTATTAAAAGAATACTTTAGAATATTTTGATAACACATATTATGCTCTTAAAGTTTCAGCAACCTTCCATGAAGAAATTTTATATTGAAGGTCCAGTTACAGTGCTAACTTGTTTTTGATTAATCAAGTAACATAGTACTGAAAAAGTTCAACAAAAATACAGAGCAGTTATGTTTCAAATTTACACTATATTCAAACATGAGTGTCTATCCACATTACACAGTTAATCACACATGTTATCAAGATTTATATATCATTGATGTGTGTAGTGCACAAAAATTGTGCTTTAAGGCTACTGTTGCAAATCAGCAATTAGCAATTCCTGATCAGACAACCACATCATTCTGTGCCGTTGACTTTGCACCAAAATATGTGGCATTTTTGAATACTGGCCCCAAGTAACATTGGGGAATGAAACATATGAACAACTCATGAACACGGTTATTTATTTTAATTTAAAATATGTCTGTAGAAACAAGAGGAAAGGTCCCATCTGACAAAAACAGTATCTGATACGAATGCTAAATGTTCTATCATCTGTTTGTCTTAACTATCACATCACAACACAAATTATCTTGATTCTGCCTTGTGTTTAGGGGGCTTGAAAACTCCACGAATTTTTTTATTTTTGCTTTTACCACCACTGCCAGAACTGCCTGCCTGAAAAGCTTTCCAACTGTTGACACGATTCTGACGAGACTCCTAAAACACAAAATAAATGATAATTCTCAAGCTCGCCACATATTTTTCATCTATGATTGAATGATTAGCTGAAAGAAGGGCATAACTTTGGAAAACTGCCTTGAACTAATAATAAAGAAATATCTGAAATGGAATATGAACAGAATTTAGAAATGCATCCTAAATACAATCAACTGGAGGTATAAAAATTATATTTAAGATATTAGAAAGAAAGGTACCTACAAGTCTTTATAGACATTATACAGAGAAAGGGTAAACTCTAGTTAAGCCCTTCTTCAAGCTAACTCCTTGATTTGAGTAATTTCGAAATGCTTGGCCTAGTTGACTTGGCATAGTCAATATCACTGACATTTGAGACCTTTTCGTTTTCCCTACGAAAGCATAATATTCAAAACTAAACAATAACAAAAATAATATTTTGAAATAATTGACAATGGTACATATCCTACCTCAAAATTTTTCTGCCATTCTTTTTCAATATTCGCTTTTTCCTCTTCTTCAATTTCCTGCTCCCTCTTTCTTTTTCTTTCTTCAATGTCACGTTGCTCAAGTTCTCTTCTTTTACGCTCCATATCCGCGAAAAGTTTCATTGTCATAACGTATATCGCATGTTTGTAATTACCAGGATCATCTTCATCAATGCGAGAATCTTTTCCTTCTTTTTTAAGTTTTTTCCGTTTCTCTGCAATCTATGACAACAGGAACAAAGAGTTGTAAATATAAATTAAAGGAAATACAATTTTTAAAGTTTACACAATTATACCATTTGGTCTGTTCGGGCTTTTGCCTCTTCTATTACATCCAGGCATTTTGTTCTGGTTTCTTCATTTTCTAATGTTTTCCATGCTTTGTTAATAACTGAAACCAATCACATAATTAAAGAACTTTTTCTATAAATTTACAATATCTCAAAAAAAAAAAAAAAAATCACAGTGCTCACTTTCGAAGGCTTGTTGAGATCTTTCAGGGTCATCAGGATTCTTGTCAGGATGTACTAAGATCGACAACTGGTACAAGATATACATAATTCATTTTTACATTACACACTAACGTACACAATATTAATTAAATATTTGTGGTACAGTAGCTACAAACCCGTTTATATTTTTTCTTCACTTCTTCAAGAGTAGCATCTGAGTCAATTTGTAAAACTTCATATGGATTTAAATTGAAGTACGTGGAACCTGGTCGCAGAAGACGATCAATTTGTTGTTTGGGTGTTAAAACGGAATCCCTTTTCTCTATCTCCTTAACCTATTGTACAAAATTAGTATGACAGTAGTCAAGAGTGACAGTCGTTCTTTACTTATCTACTACGCTAAACTTATAATTCGCCTAAGGCTCAAATCAGCACACACTAATTTTCCCAATATTGTACAATATTTAACCCCGCAATACACTCTTCGATACTAATATATACCATCAATGAAGATCCGACTCCAAACATAACCTACAAATTGGTATTCCAGACGTGATGTGGCAGGTACAGTCTCTGACCATTAGAACTGCGCATTCTCAAACTAACTAACCTCTGTGTAAAATTCGTTGAATGCCTCTTCTTTCTGCGTAGTCGGAAGTAGATTATCACTTTTTGATGATTTTATGTTAACTCCCACTGACGCCATTTTCTCATCGTTTGCACGATCAAAACATGTATATAAGTTTTACAAATCGTACAATATCGAAAAGAACAACTTACTTTCCTTCCTCGACCTTTTTATCGACTTTCATCGAGTTGAAAATCGAAATTATTGAGTGTAAAGAAAAAATGAGGGATTTTTGAAAGCTCTTGTATACATCGAATGTATTAAGTAAATGTATTAAGAAATTAATAATAAATATCAGATAATAGAGGAAGAATATATATGCAACAAGTCTTTCGCGCTTCTTCTATCCGTTGAGGAAGGCAATCGTGTGTCACAATACATGCATTAAATGAATTCATTAGTCACATTAGGGTGAAGGCAAACCGTTTTGTGGAAATTTTCATGAAATAATGTTGACTTGAGATTGTTCGTATAAAAAGTATAGTTTTCATTATCAAATGATGTATACGATATTGTGGGCAACGATGGCCCCAAATGTTTTATTTAAAAGACAAATCGACGGAAACAAAGCCAAATACTACTATCACACATAGAATGAAAGACAGGACAGACAAATTGACTAAGGTCAATTACAAAATAATTTGTATTCAATGCACGTATTGAAAAAAAAAAAGCTTGAGTCTGTCGTTTAAAGAAGTTGCACATATATAGAATGGGAAGTACTTTAGAAGATAGTGAATTAATTTCATTTGCTCAAAATATTAAACTACAGGTGCTAGAGAATGGCACAGAAATTCTCGTTATAGTTAGTTTTCTAATTTCTTTGGTCTGGGCTAACCCTTCCCACAGCCATTCAAACGACATTTTTTCGTCTTTTCTCAATTTTTCGGTCTCTTATGATGTAGAAGAGAAAAACTAAGTCTTATATGTCCATTTCCTTGAAAAAATTGAGACGCTGTTTAGAAAATGTACCTTAAGTGTTTTCTTTTAAATGTGAAATTTGCAGCTCTTTTTCGCACAAAACTTCTAAATTTTGTAGAAACTTCATTGGCAATAATTTGACGCACTTCAACTTACAAATGCAATAAATTATACGAATCATTGGTATTATAAATATTAACGACTTTAGAGGTATTTAAAAATACATTTGTGTAATTTTTTAAAAACAAAAAAATACATAATAGTTGAGAAATGATAAGTTATTTAGTCCATTAAGAACTAGCCATTCTAAAATTTTATGATAACTAGTGGGTCTACAGAATGGCAGGCTTTCCCGTATTAGTTTTCCATTTCCGTTGGTCATGGCTAGCTATTCGGACTTTGCCACACGCTCTTGCCAGCTGCAATCTATCGCCGCCCGAAATACATTTTTTTGACATTTTCTTAATTTTTCGGTTAGCTAATAATAGAATGGAAATACATTATTAGGATATTAAAGAACAGTAAAAACTCGCCCAAAACGACAATTTTCATTGAAAATTTTGAAGACGTTATGAAGAAAATTGTGTTTAAGCGTTACTGTAAATTCGAAATTTGAAGCTCCTTTAACGCAGCAAATTTTTGAGTGAACGAAAAACTTCATATGAAGTCATTTAAAGCACATTAACAAATACAAAAGTGTTTACAATTGCTGGAAATGTGCATATTAATGGTGTGAGTTATCTTTTTAAAAAAATTGCATTTATTTATTTTTGGGGAAAAAAGTACCTTTAAATGAAATATATGTCATATTAAAGAGTTCAATAAGCATTGTCCGTTCGAAAACTTTGGAGAACAAATTTCGAGCCATTTATGAGAAAATAGCGTTTGAGGGTTTCTGAAAATGCGGAATTTTGTGTTAGTTTTCACAGAAAATTGTACATTATTCTTATAAGAAATTGATCAAACAAATTTGGAGCCTTTTTTGAGAAAATTATGAAAATGTCCGGGAGGCTTCATGTAAGTACCCCACATTTTGAGGAAAGTTTTTCAAAATCGCGGTGCCTCGAGTGTGGCCAGATCGACTAGGGAATATCCATTTTCGAAAAAATCGTACCTATGGTTTAGGTCCTAGTGTTCACAGACTGACGCACAGGCGGATGATTTGCCGTCAATTGATTGTTCTGTATCGAGGACCCACTAAACAAGGACTCTGTCTACACTACCCTGTAGGAGGATTTTTTTTCTTAATTTAGTAACTGGATTTATCCACTTTTTTGTTATCAGGGCCCGGCAATGAATTTTTTTCTGTCAAAAATCCGCCTGTATTTCGCGCAGCAATTCATACCTTTCCCTACACTACATGTAGAATCTTTAGCTTAACTCGCAACCCATGTCTGAGAGCCCTTCTTCTTGCTTTGGCAATTTGACAACCACGTATTTTCGCCATCTTTCAAGACAGCCGTGCATCCCCCGTCGAGACAGCAAAGAAGGCGACCGTCATAAGCTGCAGCAACTTTCCTGTTTCTGTGCTTTTCTCGCTCGAGAGCTTAAGCGGGCAGGTACGCAGCTCATATGCCGGGAGCTTTTCGCTGCAGAGTGGGTGGGGTGGAGAGGAGTAAGAAACAAAACATTTATTTAGGCTATTCTGCCCAGTATGCTTAAGAAACAAAAGTGTTACACTGAAGGTGTGTTTATAGCTGTTTATTTATTAACACCAACGTAACAATAATTTTTATTTAATGAAAGTTGGCTCAGAGAGAAATCAGAAAGATATATCGTGAAACATTACTGCCAAGCTCTGCATTATTTATATCAATAATAATATTAATAATAATAATAATAATAATAATTATTATTATTATTATTATTATTATTATTATTATTATTATTGAATCTGATTATTAGGCAAATAAGAAAGTCCTAATAAAATTATTGAAAATATCAATAAATCATCAGTAGTAAATTAATAGTAATAGAAAATAATTAATTAAAAATAATAAAATATAATTTCCCTAAAATGACAAAAAACTGACCATCGAGTAAATGTTCAAAGTGATCACCATTTGCCAAGAGACATGTGTTTACTCTTTTCAGTGAAGTGGCTGCAGTAAGTTGAAGATTAACAAGGACAGAATAATTGCTTTCTCTTTCTTCCAACTAAAATTAGCCTCTTCACTCCGAAATCTGAGGGCATGCGGCCTTGGGTCGCTAAAAGTGAAAGGAATGCGAAATGTATTTCATCCGTTGCCAAATTACCAAAACAATAGGAGGTGTTTCCAGACATGGGTGGCGAGTTCAGCTAACGTATTGTACGGGAAAGTAAACTGGTGGAGCTGCAGAATACCACAGACTTTCCCATTTTAGTTTTCTATTTCCTTTGGTCTCAGCTAGCTATTCGGACTTGCCACATACTCTTGCCAGCTACCATCTATCGCCGTCCAAAGAACATTCTTTTGAAAGTTTCTTAAAATTTCGGTTTGCTAATAGAAGAACAGAAAAAAATATTTTAAGTGTATTAAAGAACTGTAACACCTCGTGTTAAGTGTCAATTTTCTTTGAACAGTTTGGAGCCGTTTTTAAGAAAATGGCGTTTAAACGCCACTGTAAATTCGAAATTAGAACCTCCTTTTACGGAAAACTACTGTTATCGAAAAACTTCGTATGAAGTAATTTCAGGCACTTTTAGTAACAAATGCAATAATGTTTTTAAATCTCTGGAAATGTGCATATTAAAGGCGTATTAAGTATTTCAATAAAATTACATTTGTATAATTTTTTGTAAAAAGAAAATTATACTGCAAAATCAGCTGTATGTCATATTAAATAGTGCAATTAGCACCATCCGTCGGAAAAGTTGGATGAAAAAATTTTGAGCCATTTTTGAGAAAATTACGTTTGAGCGTTTCTAAAAATGTGGAATTTTGAGTTAGATTTCACAGAAAACTGTTGAGTTTTCGAGTTTTTTCGACATTATTTAAAGAATGATTTCGAAAGTACATTAATGTGAACAAATTGCTGCTAATGTAATTGTAAATATTGACGACGTGAGAAATTATAATTATAACATTGAAAAAACAAAATAGAACAATATAGCATTTATATCATTTTATAGAGTGCATTTAGTACTATTCCTATCAATGAAATGAAAAATATTGGAGTCGTTTTTGAGAAAAAATTGTCTTCTTCCGCTTCATGGCAAGACACTGCCAACTGAGAGGTCATCCTGCAAGACTCATTCCAAATGAGAGGTCATCCTGCCATCTTCTTCTTGGGCGTTCTACATCCCGATATCCGAAGGGTTTTTAGGTACATACTATTTGTGTTAATCTTGATATTTCCATTCTACTGATATGATTCGCCATTTGGAATTTGTATTATATAATTTTGTAATTTAGATTGAACATTTCTAGGGTGGACCTTATCTCCACATTTGGAACGTGATCTGCCAGAGTATATCCTGGTACATTGCTCAGGAAGCGCATTTCTGAAGATTCAATTTTCCGTTTCTCAGCTCTGTTCAATGCCCAATTCTTGATACCGTACATCAAGACTGCAACTGCCATGGATTTATAAAATCTTAACATTATGTCTCTTCTTACATTATTTTTTTAAATCCTTTTAATCGTTCGTATTAATAATTTATTAATCCTATTAATAATTTATTAATCCTATTATTTATTTATTTATTTATTTATTTATTTATTTATTTATTTATTTATTTATTTATTTATTTATTTATTTAATTCTTATAAATAGCTAATTTTGTATAACAAACTTTGACGCACAATCTTTATCTTCAAATTTGTAGTTTTTAATGTTTTTTTATAATTTTCAAAAAAAGGACAGTACCCGAAAATGGGACGAGCACCATATTTCTTTCCGTCCCTTATTACATGGTATGTTAGGAAATTTAAAGAAGACTTTCGAGTGATTTTAGCAAATTTCTTTAAAAATAAATTCTAAGCCCACATTACGCCCACACTATGCAAAGCCCACATTACGCAAAGACTACTCTTTTCTTCAAAATAATGTACATGACCTTTTCTAAAGCGGTAATTTTTTATAACAGTCTAAAAACCTTTATCTTTAATTTTGTACTTTAAAAAGTTATTTTTTGTAATTTTCGAAAAATCGGGGTTATCACCGACTATAAAACTTGCACCATTCTCTAAAACGTCTTTCGCACTAATGAACAACAAAATTGTATTAACAATTTTGGAAGCATTGTTTTTAAAAAGTTTTTCCTGGGCAAA